CAAACAATTCAACTGAGAGCCGAGAACATTTAGCTTCTTAGATTTCCAAACCCAGTTAGTCAGCAGACTTGTCACAGAGCTGGACTCTTGGAGACCACAAACCACTGACCTGACCTTGCCTGGTCGAATGAGTCCCCAGTGCTTCATCACTGAAAGAAGAACCAAAGGAGAACAGGAGTGTGGGCACACCGTTGAGGAATGCACCATCCAGAGAGCACAGCCAGCCAGCCCACCCTGAGTGGCTGAGTGCCCCTGCAGCAGGTGGTTGACCCCTGGAGTTCCCTGGGTGCTACTTGGGTTTTTTGCACAGCAATAGTGAGGCTCCCTCTTTTACTCGTGAATCAGCTTCGCAGTCCTTCGTGCCATTTCCTGACCTCCTAAGACAACGGTAGTTCTGCATTTCTTTTTAGATTTGTGTTTGTGTAGACAATTGAACCAATTAAGCCTGCTTCCTTTGGATGTGAATGTTAGTCTGTTTATTACATACAGTGTCAAGCACCTAGTATATTTTTGAGGTCCTTAACCCCCTTAGTACTGTACAATGTGACTGTATCTGTAGAGGGTCTTTAAAGAGATCATTAAGCTAAGATGAGGCCACTAGAGGAACCCTAATCCAATATGAGTGGTTTCCTTATAAGAAGAGATGAGAAATGACACACACACAGGAAGACCACATGAAATACTGGGAGAAGTTGGTCTCAGAAAAACATCAGCCTTACTAACAACTTAACCTGGAACATCTAGCTTCTAGAACTATGAGAAAATAAGTTTCTGTTTTTTAAGCCAGTCAGCCTGTGTATTTTATTATGAAAACCCTAGCAAACTATTCTTAACAAATATTTTTTATCTTTTTCTCAGAGACTGATTAAGAGTGGCTTTCTTTGTTGTTATGGGGTACAGATCATTCTCTTCTCTGTAGGGTTTGTGATATGCAGAAGAGGAAAGCAGAATGTTTATGGCTTTTTTTCTCAGCTACTGAAATTGTTCTGGCTTCTTTTTGAAAGGATTTTGCTTGTGGAAAATTGACATTTTATTTGAGACCACATCCTAGAATGAGTTCATTCTGCCCGTCCTCACCGCCAGCTCATCCCATGTTGGAGCCACATGAGTGGTGTTGGAGATTGTCATGATAGCAGTTTGGTCTTAGTTAAGGTTTCTGTTGTGAAACAGGCTGAAGGGGTCCCAAATGTGGAAAGCAGATGTTTCTCTTGTGGCATGTCTTGCAGAATTGTCTGGCAAGAGCAATGTCTTCTGTGAGGAGGATGCTTGAGAAATGCCATGTATTTCGCAATGACTAAGGAAGAAAGGTAAACTTTTAGCTCTTTGTTCTTAGAAGAGTCTAGTTTGCTATTTATTGAGAAGTCAAACAGTATACAAAGACCTCTTCTCTATTCTTTTAAGAAACTTGTTTATTTTCTAGTATCTTGATCCTTCATGAAGCAACTGCATTTTTTTCTTTGGGGACAGCTGCAAAAAAATTACTTAGTGGCTTCTATAGAGTCATCATACTGATATCCAAAAAATATATTTAAAAAGAAATTGTCAAAACTCATGTCTTAGTTTGGGCTGCTATCGTAAGATATCATAAACTGGATGGCTTAAATAACAAAATGTTTATGTCCACAGCTTGGGTGGCTGGATGTCCAAGAATGGGGTGCCACATGATCGGGCTCCTGGTGAGGGCCTAATTTGTAGACAGCTGCCTTCTTGTTCTGTCCTCACACGGAAGGGAGAGAGATCATCTCTGTCATGTCTCTAGTTGTAAGGACCCTATCTCAAGGCCCTTATGAGAGTCTCACTCTTTGGACCCAATTATCTTCCAAGGGCCCCACCTCCAAATACCATCACTTTGGAGGTTAGGATTTCAACATATGAATTTGGGGGAAACACAGACATCAGACCATAGTTAGGGAAGTTCTAAAATAGCTAATAGTTTGTATGTTTGGAGTGGCATATGGAGTCTTTGCAATATAAATCTTTAGATCCCATAGTTATTACATTTAAAAGTACCATTCAAATGCAAATGGAAATTTCAGTTATTAGATTGTCTTTATCTGGTATTAATATGTCCTCAAGTAGATTTAAGGAATTACTCATTAAAAGGGCAGTTTTCAAAAAGAATTGCCACTGGATTAAGTTACACTAGGTATTGGAGTTCAATTTAAGAAAAAAAGTAAACCTCTTGGAAAAAAGGCTTTGTTTAAGTAGAGCAATATATATTGCATGTTTATAATGTTTTATAATTATAATGTTTTTTATGATTATGTTTTAATTTATGTTTTTATAATTAAAGGAATTTAATAAAATCCATATCCCTGCATATGTATGAATAACAACAATAACAAAAAAGAGCTGGAGAAATGGAAAAGATGGAGAAAAATATAGGGGAGGTAACATTATTTACAAAAGAAGCTTATTATACTCCTAAGATAGTTACTGGCTTGCTAGAACTCAGGGGTGGTGGGGTGTGGAGATGCAGAAGATGAGAGAGAAAAAAACAGAAAAACCCTGGGAGGAGGAAAATAAAATAAGAGCATTGCAGACTGGCTTTATTTAATTTGTTTTTGCGAAGTGAACGCCTTGGCATTATCTAGACCACAAGACGTTCTACAACCAAATGGAGGTAATTAGATCTTTTTTCTCCATCAAGGAAAATTACCCATACATCTGTGTCAGGTAAGTGAGAGTTTATAGAG